ACTTGATCCTGCCTGGGAGGCACGTCTTGGAAAATGGCCTGGAATTCTTCTCTCCTTTTCAGGGGGAATGGCACTGTCGGATTCCAATAGTATTGCTTGTGCTTCCTGCTGGCCGAGGTCTGCCACAAGCTCGTGGTTGGGCAAGCGCACGCTTGCCACTCGACTGGCTGGGGCGTCCGTGCGCCATCTGCCAAATCCTGCCCGTTGTTGCCACAGCAATCTCTGGGCTTCTTGCTCGTTCAACTGGGCAGCTCCCTCCAAGGAGCACTTAGAAGCACCTACGATAGATAACTGCATGCCGATACCGATACACTCGACTGACCCCGTAATTTCAACGGCCATCTCGCCAGCGCCAAGCGGCCCACAACGAAGGATCTGGGGATGGGGAAGAGCAGGAGCAGACACAATAAGCATAGAACCGGCAGGGTAAGCGTACTGTAGAGGTTCAGCCAGATGTATTTTAGACAATCTCTAGCCACAGTAACCACTTCTGAGTGCCCATTGTCGAGAATATATCCAACAGCACACTTAGCAGAATCGAAAGCTAGATGCGACGCAAGAGCCGAGCGGTGAGCAAACGACTGACAACACGTGTGACAAGTGTGCGTGTGACCCTGTATGCGTCTGATTCGTTGAACCCTGGAATGGTGGTTACGAAGTATATGCGTACGGAGCCCTCTAGCCTTAGCGAACGTAGTTTGACATCACATACATACCCAAGTACGCCCTTGTAAACTCTCAAGCATACGCGTGGGATGCTGCGGATCATCCCAAGCAGGAGGAACCCCCGCATCAAGTACAATGCTGAAAATGTATTGCTCCGCTGTGCGCGCCAAGACTTCACGCTGCAACTGCCTGACATGTGATGCTAGAGCGCTGCGAATGGTACGCTTCCATGCAGATGGGGAGCGACGTGCTTCCTGTTCCCAGGCATGTAGGTCGTCTGCTGGAGCTGGAAGCCGATGGAGGGGCGGCAGATGTTGGCGAAGCCACTTTATATCTTCCAAAATCGCGCGTGCCCACGACTGGCGGCACTCCTGCAGACATGCACCCAGTAGCGCAA